ACTCGCGTACTTGAGAATTGAGAAAGGGCCATATTTTTAATTAGGGTAAGATACAGGAACCAATGAACTGAAGCCTTTACAAATGAAGATGTGTAAATCTTACTGCATAACAAACTGTGTAAATGTGCATTTATAGTAAATCTGCAAAGGTTGATTCTGTTCATCTGGATGTTTTCAGTGGGAGAAACGCTCTCGTCACTCATCCAGGTGACGTCTTCAGTCTCAGCTGACTGCAGGTTTCCAGCCTTATGCAAATATGCTGTTTACAGTTGAAGGCACATCGATATGGACACTGCCTCAAACAGGCAGTCTTATTAATGCATTTATGATACATTAATATGAATCATCTGTATAAATAAATACTAATGCAGACTGTAGTTCAGGTATTATACTGAGCTTTTCTATCAAAGAGCAGAGGCCCAGCTGTCATTCATCATTTCTTTATTGTTTGCACACATCAACATTACAGGATATCACCATTTATATCATACATGTATAAGACTGAGATCCACAACATATCAAAAGAGGATGAAAAAAAAGGAGTTGAGAAAATAAGGTCACTAAGTAAAAATAAATCCGCCTGGAAACCAATGAAATTCTCCCGTAGAGAAGTTCACTGTCACCATGACAACAGTTACAGTACAAAGACCCATAGATTAGAGAGGCTGTGACGGATCCGCAGAGTTGAGAAGAATCAGCGTTTCGGGAACGCGGGACACAGCTGACAGGTTTACAGCAGGTTAGGAAAGGAAGCGTTTTTCTCCGTCTCGCTCGCCTGGAGACTTTCAGCTACGTCATCTTAAAACCTGAAAATGAAACTAAACCGAGTTTTGTGAGAAGATCAGACGAGTGGGTTTACACTCGAAGCTCGATTTTGTAACGAAGACAAATCTCAAGTCTGCCGTCGCCATCGCAGCCGAGCTGTTCTCAACAAAGTCAGCGTTTGGGTGGAGGCCCCGCCGCATGTTTCACAGGCTGCTCCGAACACCAGCAAACGCCAGAGCTTCGTTGAACGTCTTATTTAATCTATGGCAGGATGATCACACTGGCACTTAGATGGCTAATCACATGACCACGCGGGGAAACCAATAAGGCACGAGCACGCACAAACACACACATTTAAAAAGTGCATCTCCACTAGCTTCTGTGAGTCAGATAAACTGCTTGGCTCGCTCTTTTTGTGTTTCACAGATATTTTGAACAGATCGAAGATGACTCACAGTCAAACAGGAAGGTCTGTCTCACTACGTCACGCCATTAAAAAACAGAGATGCTACCACCTGACGACATTCACGCACAGCCCTCTGCACTGGTACACAAACACACATCATTAAAACAGGTAAACACTTGTTGTCGTTTTTGCTCTCAGCTTCAGTCAAACTGAAATTCTGAATGTTTTGGTGCTTTTCAGTCACATCGTTACAGGAACACCACAACACCGATAGTTACCCACTGATAGTTTGTTGCAATGAAACATCTAGTTGAACAGCATGTTTGGAGTCTTTAGAAACTGACTAAAGGAAAGACACAACTCGTCCGTGTCACGTGTCAAAGAAAACTACTGCAGGTGCTGTAATCATGGCGTACACTGTGAGGCTGTCCTTTACACGAAGACTCTGGAAACAGGACAAAAACAACGCTTAACAGGGCGCCGGGACAAAAACAGAGACATGCAGAAATAATGTTCCTCTCAGGAATTACAGGTGATTATTACAGGAACGATGATAAATGCAGGAAGCTTAAGGCCTCTGTGATCCAATTACGGCCACACAGTTCTCATTAAGCCACAGAAATTAAAACCCTCGTTAAGGAAAGTTGTAGCTGTGCTGCAGGCTGTGAAAGCAGCGATAACAGCGAAACCCTCAACAGCAAAGACACCCCGACCAACTCCCCACAGTGTCTGTGCATCACTGCTGAACCGTGAGATAAATGAGAACACAATGAAGCTTTTGGGAGACCATACAGTTGCTCCTGGGAACCTCTGCGAGAGCCCACGGTCACCTGTGTGCATCCAGTCCCTGCGCTCAGGAGGACGGAGGCTGCTGTTCACCTAACAGGACTCTGATCACACCAATCAACCACCGCTCATGTTGGCTGCTCTCTATAAGGACGGATTCATCTTTGGGTTTAGGAAGAAGAATTCACACGTTCCTCTCTCGCTACAGAGGAGACGGGTTACACTCCTCTACGCTCCTCACAGGCCTGCTTCTAAAGACCTGTGGTGACTAAAAGAAAACACAACAGCTAAAAGGAATACTGGCTTGTGATTGGCCAAAGGGTGTGTTTCATCCTAGACAGCTCTGATCGAATGCGTCTATATCCTACATTAATACTCAACAAACCAATGGATGAAGAGCTGGCCTGGAGCCACGGTGCCCTCTGAGGCATGTGGGGTCTGTTACCTGCTCAGTGCATTATGTGCAACTGCG